TTAAAAAAAAAGAAGACATTACAAAAAACGTAACATAAACTGATTCCTTTATAAAAGTGAAAATGAGATGTTTACGAAAAACATGAAACGAGCGTGCAGTAACCTAATCTAATCATGACAACTCTATAAAACATGCTCTAAAAATTGTAATGCAAATAACCAAAATAAAAGCCTTATTTCTAGTTATAAATTTCATCATTAAATATGGTTGAGGTTTTAAAAATGTTCTTATGAAAAGTAAATTATAAAATTACGGAGAGTTTTCGTTATTTCACGAACTAAAAGTTTTGCTCAAAAGAAGAAGATTAAAAGAAAATGAAATCAGCAGTTTTAAACATACGTGGGATTTATTTTTTAGGCTTTGAGCAGCSAAACTGAGTCCTTGTAGCCATTCTTCAGGATCAAAATAGCGATCTCCAAAGAAACCATTGCCATCATCATCGTTACAGCACCATCTTGGCTGACTAATATGCTTATCGGAAACCACCATGACTCCATGTGCTCCAACTGAATCGACCACAGCTTCATAAGCCTGAACTAATGTCATGTTCAACATAGAAGGGTTGTTCTGGATGATGCCCGCCATGGCATCTTTCATATAAAAATTTTCAAAGGACTCTTTAACGGTCAGGTTGGCATGGCGTGTGAACATGTGGATTGAGTACGTCAAACGTACGCAATTGAACCTCAACTTGGCCACAGTGGCGGCAATATCGCCGAGCCGCCGACGATGGAGACCTTCTGCCAGCATGGCTTGCATGTGAGAAGGCCAGTTTGCACACATCAGCTTCACACGGTGACCACTAGAAGCATCGATGATCCATCTTCCATTCGTTGAAAGAGGCAATGAATAGGCCTTAAATGTTAACACAACGAAAATAAAAGCTAAAGCAATATATTTCAATGTTTTTCCCCTCATATTTTTACCTTTCTTGGAAATTGAATGCTCTCAAGTTGGATGATGATGCAAAACAAGCATTTCATCCATATTTATAGCAATGTATTAGGCTAGAATCTAGCTAGCGAGATAAGAACTTGTAACAAACTAAAAGATGAAATGCGTTCTAACTGAATTTTGGTGGCATTTCATAAATTAAGCTATAAAAAATAACAAGCATTTGTTAGGTTAATCTTTAAAGTGTAGCAGAGTAACTATTAGCATGGAAAGAAAGTTTAACTTTAATATTTTTTTTTTAACTAATGAGTTATATGGGTCCTCCAGTGTTCATTGTTCATTTCGTTTTCTAGGGTCTAGATTGAATTTATTTTCCTTTTTCGTAAGGAATAAATTGGAAGTTTAATTAAGGATATCAAAATTAATCAGACTTTTTTTCCAACGCGTCAAAATTAGATTTGTTTGTCAAGCAATTAAATGAAGAATACTCTCCTTTTATTCCTTACCAAAAAGGAAAATAAATGAACCCGAAATGTTTACAAGAATTGGGCATCGCAGAAAGCGAAAGGTTATATAGTACTATATAATTGAAAACTCAAACCTGATTGAAATCAAATTGAATATATTGAATAGCATAAAAATAGCATAATTTAAATATTCAACCGTAGGCAACACTTAATATGTAAATTTGTGAATGTATTCCATTAATCAACAATGAATTCTTGATTTAAAAGGTTCATATTAATAAACAATCTACTACTTAAGCTACTAACACTAACCAAATATTAACACCTTTATATATGACAACCTTCATGCATAATACAAAACTAAACTTAGTAATATATATATAATATAGTTTATTATTCTCTTTAATAAATAAACTTTCGATCTTTTTTTTTTGTTGAGTACAACATATAATCTCCTATCAATATTTTTGTTAGTACAACATCTAATGCTCAATCAGTTTAGTATAATGTGAAGTATGTAGCATGCAGGAGACATGATGTAGCACATACTAAACGAACCTATATTAATAAATCTAGAAAAAATACTTAGCCGTTTATCTGTTAGCACCCAATTTTTGCTGACCATCATGTATATTTTTTTCTTTATTATGCATAGGCTCGACCTTCAAATTATTCCATTTTGAAAAATTGAATGTAGTTTCTAATTTTGCAAATAGTTATTAATTTTTATGATACTTTTGCAAGTGCCCATTTTTTTATTATCATACTATTTCAAAATTTACATAAATGAGCAAAAAGCACCATGTTAAAGGACAGCAATGGTAATCTAATCCCCTGAGTATCTACAAAATTGTATGATATTGTCCGCTTTAGCCATAACACGTAATTTATTATTATATATTAATAATAATATGAGTGTGTGTATGTGTTTCTTGGAATTTTAGGTGCTATGTATTGTTTGTCTCCTATTCCACATATGTTAAAAAACGTCCAATAGATATATCCTATTCAAGAAACAAAAAACTTTTCTCATCCAAAACTTAATTAACTTCTATTTTTTTTAGATGAAAGACCGATTGAACATTAACCTTCTATGTTGGAGGTTTCTTGACTTGGTTAGATTGTTAGCAACATTTATCTATTGTTCAACAAACAAACTCTATGGGTTGGAACAACACATAATTTATTAACTAAATAACCTTTCTAAATTTATAAAAAAACAAAATAAGTTTTGTAAGTTACAACAAACTTTGAAAATATTTGAATAGTGTATATATAAGGAATGCTTGAGATATCATTCTCCCAACACAATTGAGAAAGAGGATATCAATCGACAAAAAAAAAAGATAAAAAAAATGGGAAGAACTTTGCAAGTTATTTTCTTTCTAGCTCTAGTCTTTATGTCTTCATCTCATTCAGCTTTTTCTCTTCCTCTTTCAACACAAGGAAGGTGGATCATTGATTCGAAAACGGGGCGTCGAGTGAAGCTTGTATGCGTGAATTGGCCTTCTCACACACAAAGCATGCTAGCAGAAGGCCTCAACCATAAGCCATTGAAAGAACTAGCAGATGAAGCAATCAAGTTGAGGTTCAATTGCGTGCGTCTCACATATGCAACCCACATGTTCACTCGCTACGCGAATAGGACGATTGAAGAGAACTTTGACCTGCTTGATTTAAAACAAGCAAAATCTGGATTGGCTCAATATAACCCGTTTGTGTTGAACAAGACCATTGTTGAAGCCTATGAAGCAGTTGTTGACATCCTTGGGGCAAGTGGTTTAATGGTGATCGCTGACAACCACATTAGCCAACCGAGATGGTGTTGCTCTCTTGATGACGGAAATGGTTTCTTTGGAAATCGTAATTTTGATCCCCAAGAGTGGTTACAAGGTCTTCGCTTAGTTGCTCAACGATTTGTCAACAAATCAACGGTATGTAACATTAAAGATTTTCTTAAATGCTCGAAACTAAAGCCAAGAATTTTGAAGACTAGAAATTATAATATTTCGATCAACAAAAATAATATTTCTTGTGCCATTTAGGTTGTAGCCATGAGCTTACGGAACGAGATACGAGGAACAATGGAAAATGCGAATGATTGGAACAATTATGTCATTCAAGGAGTAACAACAATCCACAGTATAAACCCAGCAGTTTTGGTGATTGTTTCATGCCTAAATTATGACAACGATCTTCGTTGCTTAAAGGAGAAGCCCTTGGCCGTAAAGACCTTAGACAACAAGTTGGTTTTCGAAGTGCACTTGTATTCCTTTAGTGGAGATTCTGAGAGTAAATTTGTACGGCAACCACTGAACAATATATGTGCAAATATCATGAATGGCTTCATAGATCATGCAGGGTTTGTGATGGAAGGGCCAAACCCATTTCCTTTATTTGTTAGCGAATACGGGTACGATCAGAGGGAGGTTAACGATGCAGAAAATCGATTCATGAGTTGCTTCAAAGCTCATCTTGCACAAAAAGACATGGATTGGGCATTGTGGGCTTGGCAAGGCAGCTACTATTATAGGGAAGGTCAAGCAGAGCCTACAGAAACTTTTGGAGTTCTTGACTCTAATTGGACTCAAATTAAAAACCCTAACTTTGCAAAGAAGTTTCAACTATTGCAGGCCATGTTGCAAGGTAATTGTATATTAATGAATTTGGGTGTGTGTATATATAAGGATCCCTAACAAGTAAATTACTATGAAAATAATTTTTTTAAACAATGCTAAATAGTTAATCTATAGTTGGTAAGAGTACATTACAATGCATGAAACTAAATATATATTTTTTTTATTGGCAAGCAGATCCAAATTCCAACGCATCATCCTCGTATGTTATGTATCATCCACAAAGTGGTCAATGTGTCGTAAGCTCCAATGACAATAGAGAAATGTTTTTGAGCAATTGCTCTACTTCAAGTCGATGGAGTCATGGTGGTGATGGCACTCCAATTAAGATGACAACGACTGGTTTATGCTTAAAGGCGAACGGAGAAAGTCTTGGAGTATCTCTCTCAAGTGACTGTTTGGGTCAACAAAGTGCTTGGAGAGCTATTTCAAACTCTAAGCTTCATTTGGCCACCTTCACTCCGGAAAAACCTTTGCTTACAAATTGAAAGCTCCAATTCTTCCAAAATTGTTACCAACTCTTGTATTTGTGCCAATGGAGAGCCAAATTGCCTCCAAGATACCCAAAGTCAATGGTTTGAACTTGTTCCAACCAACACAATTTAATTGAATTTATATGTGTAAAATTAATATCGATAATGATTCATCGTTTATTACTCTTTTGAGCAAAAAAACTTTTGGCGTCTGTACTTTGCTATCGTATCTTATACATTTTACACATACACCATCATATTTATTTGGCTCATTCTTGTTCATCATTGAATAAAAATTCATTTTTGGAAAAGAAAAAAACGAAGAATCATCCATTAAAATATGATTAAAAAGACCAGACTCATTTTTTGTCTCACCTGGTTAACAAAAGAAGGATCACTTTGGTCTAACATCATATATCACAACTCCTTATCTTTTTCTTTTTTTGTTGTAAAAAACGTCACCCCCATCTTCATATAATTTTTTCCCCTCTACAAAATGGCCATGATCTCTCATCATGAATATAATCTTCATATGATAAACTAGTTTGTGAAACTTCAACTTAATTTGTGTATTTATTCACCACACTACGTCCGTACTAGTTTGAGTACTTGATCGAACTATTTTTGGCTGTACTAAAATGAATTTATCAACTATGAAAAAACTAGTACGGTTAGAAAAAATACCATCGTAGGAAGAAGGGTTGACATGTATGCTCTCGATAAAGTCCTCTTCTTTTTAATTGGATGTTATGTAGTCTCTTATAAGAATATCTTATTTGATAGGTGTTTCTTTTAGTTCAACATTTGTAGAAGTCAGAAACTCGAGTTATAATTTTAAAAAAGGTAATAAATATCTTATTCACCGATCTAAGTATTGATTCAAGCTGCCAAGATATCAATAATTTAGGCTCAATTACTAATGTTATTGGGTCGACTTTCGTTTGGCGGGTTATTTTCCGTTTTTAGAAAACTTCCACAGAAAATGAAAGTCCATTTATATGACATGATTATTAGGTCTTGGAAGATTAAGGAAAAGAGCGTTTTTTTTATACTGCAATCAATTAAAATAAAATATTTTAAAAGTTAAAAAAGTAAAAGAAATTATTATTATTAATTAAGAAACCACAAATGGTTACCGAACACATTTCTGTTTTCTGGTAATAAAAAAGAAAGAACAAGAAACAATAAGTAATAATGAATGCAATTGATCTATTTCTCTTAATTTAAAATGCAGGAAATGAGAAACAGTAAATAAAAAACGAGAAATAAGAAATAAGAAACGAGAATGTTACCAAACGAGCTAAAAATATTAAACATTCAAAATGTATAAAATAGTCGTGGAAAATATTTAAGAGCGTCATTAATCAATATGAAAACGACATTAATAAATAATTCAAATAAATTTAAATTCACGTAATATCTAAAATATTATAAAAATAATATAGTAA